TTTGCTCGGCGTCTCCCTGGTCTGCTGGCTCCCCCAGCAGACGGGGGAGCGGGGGAGCAGCTTTTCTCGCCCCGGAGGAGGCGGGCGGCGGGACCAGGCGTCCCGCCGCTCCTGTCCTCCGGGGCGAGAAAATCCCCGTTCATAACTGCGGATCCGACATAAGTCGGATCCGCGTAACTCGGGGACTGCCTGTATTTACCTTTTGAGGCATGCATGACACAGGCTTACTTTTTGCTTCAAAGCTTGACAATTAACAGTATGAACTTATTCCCATGTTGTACCACACAGCAGAAGTTTCAAGGCTCAGATCTTTTGACAATATTATAAAGTATTTAATGTTACAACATTTGATTGACTCCATATCCCAGCACCTGTTTTAAAAAGAAAATGGCTCATGCAATGTAAAGACTGACAATTTTATTTCTACTGGGGGGAGGGGAGAAATGTTTAAATCTTGACAGAATTCAGGAGATAAAAGATTTAATTTAACTACTTACTAGGCCTTAAAGTGCATGGAGGGTTTGTGAAGAGTGATATCTAAATATTGAAAAGTTTAGAGGGTACACACTATGGCTGTGAACAGATAACCAGTTAACCAGTGATGCTTACTGGATACTGGTTAATCGGTACCTGGGAGCAGCCCCCTACCCATGGCCACAGGCAGAGGGTTGCTCCAGCAGGGTTGCCCCAGACGGTTGCTGGAGCAGGGAGTGGTAGCCCTCGTGTGATTGTGGGGAGTGGCCTGGAAATGGCAAACCCCATGCAGCTCGGGGAGGGTGGCAGCAGCAACCTCCCACTGCAACCCTGGCTTAATCAGTTAACCTGTTAAACCTAGTGTTTAACCAGTTAACTAATTAACTAGGATTTTATATGCCTAGTAAACACTGATTTAATGTTTATTATATATGCCTGTCTATACTGTGAAAAAGCAACGTTGTAACTAACATGTTAAGTATCACAACTGTTAGCCATAACCAACTAATACACATTAAACAAGTGTTGTCCACGCTAAAGCATTATTGTTTAACATTGTGTTAGTTAAAATGTCATTTTTGTGTTCTCAATATATATTTTTGCCAAGTGTAAACAGAGGTGTATGTTTACACATTTAAGAAGACAGTGCTACATGTCTTTGGCTTGTAATGTTCTCCTAGTAGCTGGGAAATTCTAGAAACATAGGATATGTCTACATTGCCTAATTAAGTTAGGCTCTTTCTCAGGTTTCAGCCTTAGCCTCCCTGCTATCTGCATGGAAAAATAATTCTGACCTAGGTTTGGAGGTGCTTTAAGACCAAGCTAGCTTATCTGGCTGGGGGATTGGGTTACAACTGGGGTCCTCTTTAACTCTAGCTGGAACTCTCCTACTCTGCAACAAGGACACAGGCTAAATCACTGGTGTTGATAGTCCTTCAGTGTCTTCAAATGGGACAGAGAAGGTCTCCTGCAATTGTTGCAATTGACTGGGAAAAACAGTGACCTGAGGTGCCTCTGCACAAAAAAGATATGTCCCGAGATGCACATGGGCAGATGCAGAAACAGTGAGAACAGAAATATACTTCTGGTAGGACTTTGTAGTGGAGATGCTAGCATGTGAGCGAGGCTAATACATACTAACTGTGCAGTATAGACATAAATGTCCAACTCCTATTGATCTTCAGTGGGAAATGGGCAACTAATTCTTCTTCGAGCTTTTGAAAATCTCCCTCTTAAATGCAACATTAAATTTGGTTTTAAAAAAAAGTTGACAACCCTATTCATCAAGGAAGGCTTCTGACTTGTCATTTATGAGTGTGTTTATCAAACCTTTTTCTAAAAAAACCCTTTCCTAATATTTTGTATAGCCTCCATAGTTTTCATGGTAAAACAACTTAATCAGTCCCCAGTGTTTCATATTATAAAATGCCTCATATTTTTTTATTTATTCAAAACAATGTTTGTTTTGTCCTGCAATCCCTTTCGAAATTATCCAAACTGCTTATGCAATAACAGTGCAACAGACATATTTAATACAGGTTAGACCTGTTAGAGCCTGTAGAGAAGAGTGCACCTACAAAATTCTTCTTTCTATCTTAATTTCAGGTCTTGAGCATTCAAGTAAAGTGTTTCCATGAAATCATTACTATAGGCTACAGAGTCTATCATTCCTATGAATTACCATGGTTTAGATCCCTAAGCTGGTAAGTATCAAGCAAGAATTTCAAACAATAGAAATTGTGGTTTAGCTTTCACTTGCTTTTCTTTCACATACTTCAAGGGGAAGTATGATTTTATGTCTAAACCATGAGATTGTGACTCACTTCTGTCCACAACTCTACCATGGATTTTCAGTGCCTTGGTTTCTCTCCTTTGTAACATGCTTTTTTCAATATTTAAAAAAAATCATAATGAAGCACATGTACAGCAGTCTAAAAACTTGCATGCTAAATAACCAATTGACACAGTGCAGGTCCTTTGGACATTGTACAAGTTAGGGATGTAAATGACTAGTCGACTATCCGATAAGCATATGTTTATTGGACAGTCAACTAGTGACTTGACTAGTCACTTCCTCCCCCTTGCTGCCTTTGTTAGAGAGAGGCAGCAAGGGGTGGGAACGAGAGCCAGTATTGGGGGGAGCTGGCTTAAAAGCCATTCCCCCACCAGCACCATCTCTGTGGGGAGAAGGGGGCAGCGGAGGCAGAGGCATAGTGTAGGACCAGGTGTAAGCCAGGACAGCTGATTCCCAACATTTAAAAGGGAGAGCCCCTGGGGCCGGGAGCTAACCCCACTGCAGCTCTGCAGTTCCCCCCATGCTCCGCTCCCCCCCCCCCCCCCATCAACTAATCAACTAGTCAATGGAAATTCTGTCAACTAGTTGATGAGCTGATTAAATGCCATTTAACATCCCTAGTACAAGTATTTGAATAGAAAGAGTATCACTTAAAGGATTTACGGCTCTGCCCTCCTCCCAAAAAAACAAAAAAAAACCCTTGAATTATCACATTTGCCCATTCAGCCTAAGGTCAGTGTAAAAGGAAAAGTCTTGAAGTCTAGAAAACTTTTGTTTTAGGGAACTAGCAGATTTCAGAGCCAAGAGTCTTACTAAAATGTCCTGTTAGTATCTCCCCTTTTGAAGTAAAATGGGGGATATTAACTCAGCTGATAGCTTTGAGGGATGGGAGACAGGCTTTTAAATCGTCTACATCATAACCGTCTTTATACGTCTAAATTGGGCTGACCATCTTGTGACCTGCGAGGTCATTTGCAGCCCTTGAAAATGGCTGTTAATCTTTGTTTATAAATATGTCTCCTGACATTCACTATGCAGCTTTTTTAAACAGAAGGGACTATTCAGTTTCCTTACTGTCTGAAGGTGGATAGGAGGCATTATTTTTCTTGCTGTCTCCCATAGGGATGTAATAACGTAGTAGGTTAACCAATAAGCAAAAGCTTATAGGTTAGTGCTATAGACCAGTGTTCTCAACCTTTTTTTTTTTTTTATAAAGTACCCCTTTAAAAAAAATAAGTACCCCCAGTACCTACAGTTTTCAGACACACACAGTTTTTTTCTACCATTGCAACACATTTGTTTAAACAACTTAATCGTAGCTGGCCGAGCGATGAAAATTTTGCATGTAAAAAGTACAAAAATAATAAAGTGCTGTAAAACTTAAAACAAAAATTCAGTTTTCTTCAAATTTCAGTTGTGTTGACGTACCCTCCAGACTTCTCTCAAGTACTCCAAAGTCCCACTAGTTAAGAAACTCGTGGTACTCGTACCACTAGTTAAGAAACACTTCTATAGACTATATGCATCCTCCCCTCGCCAGTACGTTTTTTAGCAGGCTGGCCAGCAGCCCAGTTCAGTCATGGCTTGTGATGGGTCTGGGACCTACGTCTGCTGCAGCTCTGTATCTAAAGTGTATTAGGAGCCAGGCGGGCAGACAGCCTGGCTCAGTTCCAGTTTGCACCAGGTCCAGCTTGCTGCCACCCTGTGCTGCTGCTTCTGATACAGAGGCAGCAGCACAGGGCTACAGGTAGCCAGTCCACGAGGGGAGCTGGTTTTAAAACTGGCCTCCCTTGCAGACCAGCTCCCGCCGGGCACCCTGTGTTGCTGCCTCTGGTACAGAGACAGCAGCATGGAGTTGCAGGGGACTCGTTGGGAGTGAGGCTGGAGAGCACTGGCTGCCAGCTCCGCCCCCAGAGACTATAGAATAGTTGACTGATAATTTATGAGGTTACTCAACTACTCAGTTAACCGATATTTAACATCCCTAGTCTCCCACTGCTTCCCCTGTGGTCATAAAGCAATTCTTGTGTAAGGTACTGTGCATAGCTGCAGTCAGTCTTCTGCTGCTCATCAGCTCCCCACTGGAGGTATGTCTAGACTGCATCCCTCTGTCGGCAGAAGGATGCAGATTAGGCAGGTAAACATTGTAAATGAAGCAGGGATTTAAATATCCCACGCTTAATTTGCATAAAAATGGCTGCTGTTTTTGCCGACTCAGCACTTTGTCGGCAAAAAGCAGCAGTCTAGAGGGGGATCTGTCAAGAAAGAAAGCCTTTTTCAACAGATCCTGTAAACCTCCCTGCAGGAGGCATAAGGAATCTGTCGAAAAAGGCTTTCTTTCTTGACAGATCCCCCTCTAGACCACCTCTTTTTGCCGACAAATTGCTGAGTCGGCAAAAGCAGCAGCCATTTTGATGTATATTAAGAGTGGGATATTTAAATCCCCACTTCATTTGCAATGTTGGCCTGTCTAATCTGCATCCCTCTGCCAACAGAGGGATGCAGTCTAGACATACCCTGGTTGCCTAATGCATCACAGTGAAGAAAGAGTAGTTCTGACTGCTCCATTTCCTGCTTCTCTACTCTTGGGTTTCCTAGGGGAGCAAAATGGGGATTTGAATGGCTCTGCCTGAGTGTGGGAAAATGCTTAACAAAGGAGTGATCCCCTTTCCCACACAGCTACCCAGAGCAAACCATGGACGGAGGGGAAAGAGGAGAAACTGAGAACTAAAAATGAGTTATCACTGCCCACTTTTGTGCCCCAGTAAAGGTTAAAACAGACTCAGGGTTCCCAGCAAAGGATGTGCAGATGATTTCTGCTTCCTTTTGCCTGAATTGTCCAAATGGAGGGGGGCGGGCCAGAGAATCTTAATACAAAGAACTTGTTGTGGCCTTTTGGCCAGTGTTTGGCCCTTAGTTGAAACGTTGAAGAGCAATAGTCTTAATCAACATTTGCACTAGCTTTCAATAGTTTTTCAAGATGCATTCAAAAAGAGTGAGAAATGCTAATAAGTAAGTGGGAAGTCACATTTCTGAAGTTTGAATGGGCTTCAGGTAATTTCAGTCCAAGGGTAAAAAACTGTGAAGTAATCTAATCTGTAAGTGACAAAAAATATGGTATACTATGTGGAGGTTGGCTGCCAAAATAAAAAACACCACTCCGGCTACGTCTACACTGGCCCCTTTTCCGGAAGGGGCATGTAAATTTCACCAGTCGTAGTAGGGAAATGCGCGGGGGATTTAAATATCCCCCGCGGCATTTAAATAAAAATGTCCGCCGCTTTTTTCCGGCTTTTAAAAAAGCCGGAAAAGAGCGTCTACACTGGCCCCGATCCTCCGGAAAAAGCGCCCTTTTCCGGAGGCTCTTATTCCTACTTCAAAGCGGCGGACATTTTTATTTAAATGCCGCGGGGGATATTTAAATCCCCCGCGCATTTCCCTACTACGACTGGTGAAATTTACATGCCCCTTCCGGAAAAGGGGCCAGTGTAGACGAGCCCCTCATGTTTGGCAAGGAGGTGTTTGAGAGTAAAAAAGCACTCTTTGTTGTTGCTACTTGACTCTTGATAGCAACTGGGGACCTAAATTATATACCTTGCCAACAGCAAGGTACTGTTGAAAGGGAAAATATCAATTATATCATTTTATCTGGATGTTTCCCCCATTTAATCAGCATCACATCTTGCTACCTATTTGAGTCTCAGCCAACTAGCCCTAATTTATAGCAGTTGCCATGCTGGATCAGAACCAAGATCCATCTAATCCAGTGTCTTGTCTGTGACAGTGGCCAGTACCTGATGATTCAGAGGAAGATATAAGAACCCTGCATTTGGAAGATAGGGTATAATCTTCCCCCACTTGCTCACATCTTGATTATAGTTATAATTTGGCATAAGCCCCGAAGGACGTTTTTAATGTCCTATCCACAATTTGTCATCATTATATCTCTGGATTTTCTTAAGGTATTAAATTATTTGTAAACATTAAGTTCTTGGCCTCAATAACTTTGTGTGGCAACAAGTTCCACAGTTCAATTATATATTGTGTGAAAAGGTATTTCCTTTTTATTAGTTTTGAATTTCCTAACTTTATAAATTTTAATTGAATGCCACTTTATTTGCATCTTCAGGTCTCAATTATGACTTTGACATAGGGAGATCGACGTAACTGCCCCCTCTTGGATTAGTAAAACAGATTACAGCAGAATATCAGCATACTTATGATTTTGGCTGCCATGCCATTCATCTGAAGTCCCAACAGTAACTTCAAGTGTTTGCTCGTATGAATTCCAGTATTAGGTGTGTGTGTGCATGCTGCATGCATGGCTGTTGGAAGGATTTCCCTAACAACTACTTATCAGTTGGGCTGTATAGCCCCCTGGTGCTCTGTATAGCACTCTGGCAACCTGACTCCACTTCAGTTTCTTACCTCCAGGGATAGTTATTGTTTTCTGTTGTTACTGTTCTCATAGAGGTTTTTGTAGTTTGCTTGTCTACAACAGGTAAGAGGGGTTTTCCCCTTCCTGCTTGCATTCCCTCTGGGACTTAGAGCATATTCAAGTCTCAGCGATTCGAGCCCTGCAGTTCTTGCTCAAAGTCTATGCCCACAGGTGACCTCTATAATTCCTGTCTTAGGCATCTGGGGGAGGCTCATCAATCTGACAAATGCAGGATCTTCAAGGCCTTTTAAGCCTAGTATTGGAAAAGAGTGAGACTTTTGGATAAAGCAGCTCCTGAAGAAGTCACCACTCCATTCCCAGCACAGGCAGGACCCAGCACTGGATGCCTTTGCCAGAAGCACCCCATGGAATGGCACTGCCACTCTTTGGCCTCCAAGTTGCCGACTTTCAGTTCTGCTCCCATTCTCCCTCTAGGCACAACAAACACAGGAAGGGGTAACACTGGCACT